ATCTGCAATTCGACGAGCGAAGTGAGGAGAGGTTCCCGGTCGCCCGCCGCCCCCGAGCTGCACCTAAGTACCTCTATCGTGCCCGCCTCTAAACCCACCGCAATGCATTCGGGCCTTTCGCTTGAGTCGTCCGCCCCCAGGCTTGACAACGACACGATCGACGCGGACGCCGTCGCCACGCCCTTCTCGAACATTTGTACGGGGGCTCCGCCGGGCACCCTTTCCGAGCACGGCCTGGAATCGTCCGGCCCTGCGTCCTCTGTCAACCGCCAGGCAGAGCGCCAGCCAAGGACTTGAAGTTTCCCGTCCGTGTACCCTAAGACAAGCTCCTGACATCCATCCCCATCCACATCCAAAATAAGCGCAGCTGTGACGTTGGGCGCCACGGTAAAGCTATGGCTGGGCTGCAAACTCAAGGACGGCGTGTCCCAGGCAGAGAACACGGGCACGTCTGTGTGCTGCGCGGGACTGGAACGGCCGCCGTGCTTCTCGGCGTAGCTTGGTTTGGTCGGAGACGTTAGAGTTAGCAAAGACGGGTCGTTTTTGAAGTCGAAGAGGTGGACATCGCCTTCAACGGTCAGGGCGACTAGCTGCTTGGGGCGTGCAGGTCGTGTCCCCGCCGTTGCCTGTGCCTTTCCTCCTTTCTCTCCACTCACTTTCTCGGAACAATGCTTGGAGAGGGGGCTTTGTGTCTCGATGTCACAGTCCGGCAAAAGCTGCCCACACGAGAAGACACGGAGCATCCCCAGCCCTGTCGCAACGGCCCATGGTACCCTCCCTGCAAGACCTTTGTAGATCGCCAGGGTCCCGTCCAATGATCCGACCATGAATTCCTGCTGCCCGTCGCCGTCTAAATCTGCCAGAGCCATTGCAGTATGGGCATGATTTGGACCAAAGTAAAGCTCCTTCCGCGTCAAAAGGTAAATTTCATCGACTTGTAGGTTGGTCGAGCCGGGGAAAAATCCAGTAGCCAAGCTCGAGGGCGAGGGCGAGGTACCCGATGCCTCAGCTTTGTTTAGCATCTCCGTGTCATGTGCACATTCTTCCATTTAGGCTGCAATTAAGCTGCTTTCACGCGAATAAGCGACATGTATTTCCTGGGAGTGGGGTGGCAACCAGAAGCACAGAAGTCGGTTGATATGAGGAAAGTCACGTTCGACGACATGTCCTGAAAATGCAAAAAGCAGGCAACACTTATCATCCTCTTGGACATCCCCAAGCATTCAAGAGTCATGGGTATGAATGACTGTGTAAACGTGGCGGGTTGTATTCTCGTACTTAGTGATTTTTTTCACGGGGTGTTTTAACCTCCCCACCCCCTTCAAGCTTGTGTGGAGTGTGGCGCGTTTGTACACGCATCACGTTTATGTGAAATGGTATATTCCCTCTGTTTCTAAAAACAAAGATTGAGATGGTTTGATGATCCAGATGATCACAAGTTTGTTCCCGGTATGTGGAAAATCGATCGGTCAGGAAAGCTAAAGCCGCTCGTCTGCAGATCCTTGCTTCATTTTATCATTTGTCCAAACCGTTTCGAAAACTACTAGGACGACATAATGACCATTTCTACGTGTTTTTATTTTTATTTTCATGCCAATGCTAAGACATACACGTCCACAGGCAACGACTGGACCGCAGGACACCGTCCCTCATACTTGTGGCACCGTCCATGCCCGACTCCCGACGATTCATCGTGCCGTGGGCGCAGCACGTCGTCTGTTTTCTTGGCATCCTCACCTTCGTCTCGCAATTGCTTTTTGTGGAGGCCTACCGGCATCCTCGTTCCTTACTCCACATGGCCTTGACTTCCACCTCCCCAAACCCGATACATTCCTCCTCCACGTCCATCAAGGAGCTGCATTGCAATGTCCTTATCGCAGGCGGCGGCCCAGCCGGCCTAGCCGCCGCCCTCTCCCTTGCCCGTCGAGGTTACCAGGACATCCATGTGCTGGAACGTAACCCCTCTGCCGAGTATTTTGAAGTGGACAAGAGTTACTTGTACAGGATCGACGGACGTGGCCAACGGCTCACCGGTCTGCTGGGGATTACGGATGCGATGCAGGAGGTCTCCATCACCACGGAGGAATTTTTGAACATCACCATCGTCCAGGCGGACGGGAGTGTCAAGGTGGTGAAAGCCCCCGCGGATCCGAGCCAACAAACGGCCTACTGGCTCCCACGCCGTGCTCTGCTCTCCTTCCTGTACGACCGCATCCAGAAGGAAGATTGCGGGAAGGCCATTTCCTTCCATTGGGGCGTGACAATCCAACGCTTTGTCATGCCCCCGCCGGAAGAAACGGCTCAGATAACAGCCCAAGCCAAAATTGTCGCGGCCCTAGGGGACGGAACCCCCACGGAGTTCGTCTCGCAGAAAGTCATAGGTTGCGATGGCATGAACAGCCGCATCCGAAAGGGCCTGGAGGCCTGGGCGGCCTCCGACCCGAAAAAGGCCGAACAAATCCCGAGCAAATCGAAGGAAAGAAGCATAGTCAAGCGGGTGGGAAGGAGGGGAAGTTTTCGAGGGCCACTTCCAGGTCAGGAGGGCGCG